GTATGCCTTCCATGTCTTTCCCTCCCAGTTTGTGATTTTGCAAATTCGTTTCTCTCTTTCCCCTTTTTTGCTAGGCGCTATACTATATCCGGATGCAATGGCTTGTTTATTTTATTTCATGTCAATTTCTTTTTGCTTTCGGGGTTTTGTTCGGCGTCTGAATTTGCGACGACGAAATGACACCCAGCGGGGCCCGCGGGGAGGAAGACAGGAAGTGGGGACTCACTTAGAGAGAATGAGTAAGTAGTTAGAAAGAAGGGGTAGAGGGGGGGCACCATGCACCCATGCAACTCATGCACCATGAAATCAACTTTCAACCCCCGGCCACCCCCCCAGCCTATAGATTTCTTTTCTCGAGGCTAGCTAGCTAGAAACCAATAGATTAGATAACAGCACCAACTACATCTGAGCATGAACCAAAGGAACTAAATCCTGCGCATTTCCGCCATTTCTATGACCTACCATCTGAAGCTACACTACACTACACTACTCTACACTACACTACCGGCCGGACGGAGTACACGCACCGCACCAAGTAAGCCTCATCCTACTGGATAGGTAATTCATGTTTAAGAACCATGTTTGTTGATTTACCATACATACATACTAGTATACATTTCCGAGGAACACCGACCGGCGGCTTTTGGTGGGAGTTATTGTTCCTTGTCTCAGAAAATGGAACGCTGTTTTTTTCCCCTACTACACCCCTTCTCTAGTCCATGCATTCGTCATCTTTCTGGGCATACAGACGGATAGTGTCTGAAAGATTGAAAGAGCTGAAGTACGCGCCTGAACAATCAAGTCAGGAGGAAAACACACTCACTCACTCACTCACACACTCACTCACGATGAGTGTCTATCGCGGTGGGTACAGGGAGTTACGTGCAGATCAGACTAACGATTACCGTGCAGTTGCCCCTCTCCTTGGCTTGACCCCCACCCCTCTTTCTTCTTGAGAATACTGGACAGGCGTGCCAATTGCATCCTGAAGAAGGGCCGAGGGAACCAGATTCAGGGAAAGAGTAGTTTACGATAGGTATAGTAGAGAGGGCGGTTATGGTCCGGAAGTCCGCTGAGTACTGTACACCTCCGTCTCGAGGAGTGGGGATGTTGCCGGCTCACTGCAGGAGGGATATTGCATCGGAATAGTGTGGGGGGGGCAAGGAGGGAAAGGGTATAGTACTGCGTGATAGAGATCAACAGAGCCCAGTCTGTCAGTCTGTTGTCTCCACCGTCGGATACCTTACAAGGCCAAGGAGTTTCTTCTCCTTTCCGCTCTCCGGGGGGAGGTACGGTCGCCACTTGCTTGCGTTTTCTTTCTTGGGTTTCCCCATATCCCTCCCCCACGCCCAACGCACGCGTGTAGAACCGGAGAGACCGGAAAGATGTTTGGGGGGCTTTGCTTTCTGTGTAGCAGTAATACGTAGAATATGCTGCTGGTATTGTTGTTGTTGCAGGATGACCCGTGCTGTGATCGTCAAAAATTACCTTTATCGGGGGGAGTAGTGTCGGCAGGAAGTATACTCGGTTAATTCAGTGTCTCCATTTGGTCTTTTGGTTGGAATTAAAGAATCCTTTGTCTTGATTCAGATTGCCGGCGATCCTTACCCTGTTTCGAACTGATCAGAAGGCGAAATCCAGCAACAGTACAGAGCAGTAACCCTGTGAACGATGGTCCTAGCTTGATCAGCCCGGAAATTCTCCGATACCGCATGAAAGTAGACGGCGAAATAGGACTGTACTTGACTCAGTGGTGGAGGAACATGGGGTATCTTTGTCCTAAACGCCACTGGATTCCAAACCTTGACGAAGACGATGGCTCACAGCTCGCGCCAGTTTCGGACCATCGAGGTCAGCCAACTACTGAGTTAGCATGCCAAAGGCTGAAAGGGACAAACACACGATGATCCATCAACGTCATAAACAACCATCAGCGACGCTGTCTTTGTCTTTGAGACCCAGAAGGAACCCAGCACTAGCGCGTCTGCTAACCCCGAATGAGTTTCGAAAGGTAAGTTAAGCTTATCAATAATCATTAGAAAGAGGGGAGACCCTAGTCCGGGAGAAGGGAAATATGCAATTGCATGAAATGGGCGCTTATCGTTCTTGACTCGAATGGTTGGGAGTAGATTGTTCTGCAGAGTCTGGCCTCGGGTTTCCTGCAGAGCTCAGAGAAGATAGAGTGATGACCCTGACTGGGTCTTTTGTCCTCGATTGCGCTAGAAAGATAGGGAAGCATGCAATAAGGTAACATCATCAATCCATTATGTATGCTTGGAAAAACAGAGTCGAGGTGCGTGGCTTCCCAGCTGGCTCATTGGCTTTGGCTGGGCGTCTATCCATATCTCGGCGAGGCGGGGGAAGGAGCTGAGCAAGGGTCTCGAAGAGGAAGGGACCATGGTGGGCTTGCTGTGGTGTCTAGAAGTAGGATTTGGTCGGTGGTCTTAGTCAATTGTTGGATAATGCGATTGATAATTCTATGTTGTCATTAACAAGGTGAACCTACCAGGTGTTCGTTACCCATGCTAACCCCCGGCTCTATTTCGGCGGCTGGCTGAAGATTTTGTGGTTCATTTGGGGGGGCCCTAAACTTGGAATAACACTCGCATTTGTTAGTCTGGGCGACAAATGTTGAGCTCTACCACCTCCATAGTGGTAGAGGCGGCGTGATTACCAGGCAGAAAAAGTGTTGAGTGAGAACGCGTAGCCTGTCTCATATCACGACAAATTAATTGTCCGTAACTATCCACGAATCGAACTTTAATAGAGCACGGAATAGTAGTGACTGCCGGTCGAGTCGACTGGTCGGTTCTCCACCGCGAAAGGGAAAAAAAAAAAAAGGGACGGACCGTGACCCGGTCCACCCGTCAAGACTCAAAACACCAAAACAAAGGACTCCGCGGGCCTGCGGCAGGCCGAGGTGTTGGGCGCTGCTGAATGAGACTCACCACTGAGCCACTCACCACGTCCACCTCGGACCCTCGCTTGCATTGCAGCCTAAAGACTGCAGTCTAGTCTAGACTTCAGTCGGCATCTGCCAAGCACCGCTGCCAAGCAAAGGGAACAAACCGAGGAGATCAAGGAGAGCGAAGTGAGAGGAGAGGTCCGGACCCGGCCCGGAGACACGGTTAATGGAGTCTCAATCTTTGCCGTGATCCTGATTGATACGTGTGCATTAGATAGCCGCTCTACACGGAGAAATGCACAGATGCGGCTAATGTCCACCAAGATGCCCAGCTGTAGCTTTGGCTGGCCGCTGGAGCGTGTTAAGGAGGATGATAAGTTGAGTGTCTGGCTCATACATATTTGATAGGCTAGCGATTGCATATGTATATGATTGCTAGGGGGTGACGAGGCGTGCCACTGTGTCTATCGGGCTCGTCCAGGTTGTGGTGCGGCTGGTGCTACGGTTTCCCGACGGAGATGCTTGGAAGATGGATGCAACCACGCAAGTCAAGAGAGGGGAAGAAGGCGAGGCTTTGGGGGGGGGGGGAAACACTCACATTTAGACCGCGGAGAAAGTACCACCGAGTGTGGGTAATATCCATCAGGTTGCGTACCTTTGGAATTAAGACAGCTTTGGTGCGCGAGAGGGAAGCACGGAGCACTTGACCGGAAGTCCCTTCGGATAAAGAGAGCATTGGTTTCTCGGTATGTGGAAACAAAGGCTTGGCTTGTCACTTGTTTGTTTGACAGTATCAAACCGTATCGCAGTGCTGACGAGGCTGATGGTAAATCAACACTATTCTTTCATCATAGTCCAATAGGATGATAAGGATATTACTCTGAAGTCCCTGCCTACCACAACATTCTGATAGACAGGGGAGAGGAGAGAGGAATAATAATAATCAAATAAGGAAAAAAAAAGATGTCGCGTATGTCGCAAAATGTGGTCCTTTCTGGAGGCGCTCTCACGTCAGTCGAGACAGCAGACTAGACATAATCTTGATCTTGTCTTCAAGGCCATTGGCTTAGCTGGAAACGTCGCATGCTTAAGGCTGCCTTTAGCATGCTTATCCTATCTTCATACGGCTCACTATCAACCGAGGGTCGGCCTCGGAGCTCGTTGAAACCCCTGGAGAAGGATTCGAGCGCGTCGAGGTGACTGAGACATGCTATTGTTTGGTTTGTATGGTATTCATTTTTATTGACCTTCGTGTCGTGTTACCGAATTCATACTATCACGACATCTGAGCTCCCAATGGTGTGGACAATTTGCTATCACTGGAGTGTAGCTGACGGCCGTCCATTTCATGCCTGCGAGGGGAGGTAGCTGCAGTCGCAATCGAGCCAGAAGTCCCCACTTGTGGGATGTGTTCAGCGTAGCACCTTTCGAAAAGACGGCGTTAGCATTATACTAATCGTGGAAACTTCAGGACAGTCATGAACACAGCAAGGGTGGACAAATTAACATAACCAGATAGCCGATTGTATCCTATCTTGTCTGCTGTCGTTGCGTGTACTAGAACCTCGGTCAAGGCTACTCCGTGGTTGCAACGTCACTCTCGTTCATGCTTGCATGGTATGACGGCTAGATAATCGGACTGGAGTCGTGTCCTGGGTGATTCGGTGTTGGCGCTTGGACGTTGTCTGACTGGGAGTGAGAATGCTCGAGACCTAGTATTTCACGCAAGGCTTGTTTTTGCTTGGTAAAGCTTGGTTAAAAGTGACAAGATAAGAAGACATGGCTATTGTACCAGTGAATCACGCCAGTCCTGCAGCAGGGATGCCCGAGTCAACAGATGGGTCGAGCATGGATGTTCTGAGGAGCTAATTTGTTGATAATTAGCAGAAGCGGTAAGGAAGTCATTAAGTCGGGTAGTGCTAGGTAGGTGGTAGTTGTAGTGGAGAGTCATGTGAGCGGGCGATGGGTTGGCTGTATGTCTGTGTGTGTATGTGTGTTCTTGCTCTTCTTCTGCTTTCGCTGCTTGTATGCCCAGCTAAGGGTCCAGTATTTGCTCATCATGATAGCTACCTAGTAGTCTAATTATACAATACATGTCCAAGCCAACCTGCCACCCAGAATCATGACTACAAAAAGAAATATTAGTCTCGTAAAGCACAGCCATTGGTATATCCCATAACATAGAAAAGAAAACGAAAGTAACCCCAAATGATTCCAACCTAGTGCTCCCTATTTGCCACGACCTCAACAGTCTGTGATACGTCAACCGTTTTCTGAATCCCGCCTGTTTCCGCACTGGAGGCAACATCGAGCGCACCAGCAAAGGAAATAAGGTGGCTTTGGTCCGAAGCAGATTCGAGCCCATCGGCTCGACGTGACGTGCCCAAAGAAAACCGTTTACTGCCACCGTTCTTCATCTTACTCAGTTGCAAGGAGGAGGTGGGCTCGTAACGGTCGGAACTGTAATAGCCCTTCTTGCGGAGCTTGTTGATGAGAATGTTGAGGGTGGGAAGGCAAGCGCATATCAGGGCGACCCCGCCCTCCGCATTGCTGTTCACCAGTCAGCTGGGCTGAATGTTTCAGATCATTGAATGCTCATATGAGCGGGCGTAGAAGCCTTACCCAGACATAATGACACACGTAAATACAATAGTCATATCTCTTGAGCTTCCTTGTCTGACCACCAGGACCAAACGGTAAAGACTGAACGCTGTGGCCAGTCCACCCGCAGAAAGCATACCAATGACTCGCAGTTTCTTGCTGCGGGACATTTGCAAGGACCACGTCAATGGAAGAGGCAAGATCAGGATAATCAAGTCGGAGACAACACTGATGACTGAGTCGGCGATGAGCGCGGCTTGTTGGTCCATACATTTGGCCTTGGGGTTACCCGTCCAGTATCCTGGAATAGGGTCGCACATCCGGATTTTCACAATTTCGGCGATAATATAGTAGACAAACAGACAGCCCAGAAAGAAGTAGATCATGAGAATCTTGGTACGATACGGAGCGAAGATGCGAGTCAAGATGGAGAGGAGAGCGACTTTGACCAGCAGGGCCATGGGGCAGTAAAGAACGGTGGCGATATAGCAGAACTGAGAGATGAAGGAGGTCAGAAATCGTAAGTTATTGAGGCTCGGCTCAATATACCTTGCGAAAAAGGACCTGGTGTGCGGTCGAAACATCATCAATGTGGTACCCTCCACCGTATTTTCCCACTGAACGGTGTGTCAGTCGAATGCATTGTTATGGTCTCTGGAGGACTCACCTATAATCGAGATGGAACAGTACCCCATAAACAGAATCTAACAATGCAATGGGTTAATCCTCATCCATAAACTTCAGCTTTTCGAGTCAGCCGTACCCATGCCGCGAGACAAGACCCTGGAAAATGTTAACAACCTGAAGAAAGTGATCGGTAAGTCATTGAACGTACAATCTTCCACCCCCACCCATTGCTTGTAGTATGTACGAATCGAAAACCGCAGGATCACAAAGACACTGACTATAGGGATACACAAGCACTGCGTGACGAAGTTGATGGTGTTCAAGACATCTTTCGGATCGCTCACAGTCATGACGCCTGGGGTAAGAGGAATAATAGCGAATGAATCCCCAGAAGTCGAGACAGCATTGACGAAAAGATTCAGAACCCCATCGCACGCTCGGTGGGGGGGGGGGGGGAGGCAGTCACATTTGTATTATAAATAAACAAAATAAATAGGCGAGTTCCAGCTCCATCGTCCGAGTGTCATTGCGCCGAGTCTCTGTCCCAGGGACAAGCACTGATGAAGCCCACCGTGGCGACTCTGATAGGCGCCAGCTGAGTGTCTAGAGAAGCTCAAGTTTGGGTCGGAAGATGGGAAAAGGAAGCCGAGTTGAATGGCCTCCAGTCACAGTGTACCAGCAATCGAACCGTCGTATTGATCGACCCGCCCATTTGCGATTGGGAAAACGTAGAGGAAAACCTTAAGCTGACAGGGCGGAATGCCAGGGGTAGGATTCGAGAAAGAGAGATTGAGAGACTGGAGAGCTGGAACCAGCTGGTTGGTCACTGGGTCAAGGGACTCGAGACTCGAGAGATTGTGTAGGTAGAGCCTCCACAGCGGATCAATTGTGATAGGTGCAGAAAATAGATGCCCATCTTGATTGCTGGTTTGGGAAAAAGATGAACAAGAAATCTAAAGAGGAGAACGAGCGGATCGGATGCAGTGCCTGTACGCTGAAGGTGTAGAAGTAAAAGTCCGGGTCGGATCACCATGAACACGAGGTTGCTGTCAATTACCTGATCCAGAAGAAAACAGAAGTACCTAAGTTGCCTATCTCAGTTTACTCATTCATTCCAGCTACATCTACTCTACAGTTCATCTCCTAACCCCTAGAGACCTCAAATTAGCAGAGACAGAATTTTCACTCACATCTGACATCAACATCCGAACTTCCGATGTTCTCAGCCCCAAGCGCAATTTAATTGGTTTAGATTAATCTCCTGTTCATCCTTCGGAGATCATCAATCCTTCAGCCCCGTGAGAGCCTGCGATGTTACAGTTTAGGGGAAATGCAAGCGGCACGACGAGGACGACGACGACAACAGTCTATTGGCAACGCCACCACTACTGATAAGTCGGTGCAAATAGCTTTGCACACTACTGCATCGGCGCATTTCACGCGACATCCATGGCGCAAATAAACAATCTCTAGAGTTTCGCCACTCAATCTACATATGCAAGCGTCAATCATGGGTCAACGTCCAGCCGCGCTAGGATGGATCGTTATTTGGTTGAGCTGGGTCCTCTTGAACACTCGTGGTCGGGTTGACCAGTGAGGCCTTTGCATAGACTCTTGAGCGAAGTGCTGCCACAAGGGAGAATTTTGCTGCGGTACGAGTACGCAGCAGGCAGCAAATGTCCATGGGTCACTTCATCAATCTGGTGGACTTGGCTGAGACGCCGACGCGTGCTCGAAAAAAGCCCTAAAGCGACTAAATGCGTGCCAAGCCGATCGGGCCTGGTTTTTGACTTTCGCTTCTGGCCGAGAAGTGGAGATTTCACCTCGGCTCAGTCGGGAATGGCTGGAGTGAGGCGGTCGGTGGTTGGCATTTCCGCTGCCAGCCTGCCAGGGTCAAAGGGGTGTGTGGGTGATCGTGTGTTTACGTACCAGTACCAGACACATGCGTGAGGGTAGGTACTGGCACTGCGGGCAAGACAGGGGTGTTGACGGTCGTCGACTGCACGGTTGACGCACATGGATCTATATGTCAGATCATTATCGACGTTGTTCCTTCCTCCACTTCCCCAAGCTCTCATATCCACATCAACATCAACATCACCGTCTTCAAAACAACATAAGAAACAGACACCAACAACAAAACAGATCGTCGTTAATCACCCCCCCCCCCTCCTCGGCCAGCCGGAAACACGGGTCAATGGTCTAGCAGGCAATCCGCTCCACTTCCCAAGGTTCAACCCGTGTCTCTCTCTCTCCATAATTTCTCGTGTCGTCTCTTCGTCGCTGGTTGGATATTTCCACACGACCCAAAGGTTCCAAACCTGTCAGGCTCCATCTGTCATACCTGTTATGGAATTGGCACCTGTTGGTCCCCGTTTAGCACCCCTCCATCGGGCCATGGCCGCACCAGCAACCAAAGAGGAGAGGGGAAGCGGGAATCAAGAGGAAGAGAAGTCCATGACCCGGCCGGTGGATGAAAAACCCACTACGGTGGCCATTGCTGTCCATGGTTTCCCCAATCTTGCTCCCCTTTCTGAGGAATTGTGCCTTCGCAAGAACCACTGTTCATCTCTGCCTGCAGCCACTGCAGCCACCGCATCCATCGCACAGAACCTTAACCCACCGTCCACACAAATATAGCAGTCATGACTGGCGATCAGCTTCTTCGAGAACAGTCCAAGCTCTTCCAGCCCCTGACCATCGCCAATGGCAAGATCCAACTCAGCCACCGAGTGGTACATGCCCCTTTGACGCGCAACCGGGGCGAGCCTCTGAACCCAATCAGCACGCCTGAGAATCCCAATCGGATCTGGTATCCCGGACAATTGATAGTCGAGTACTATCGCCAACGCGCGACTCCAGGGGGGTTGATCATCTCCGAGGGCATTCCGCCATCGCTCGAGGTAATTAGATCCGACCAGAGCGTTTGCCTCTTTCGCGATGCGCATCGATGTCTAACCTCCTCGCCAGAGTAACGGCATGCCAGGTGTTCCCGGTCTCTTTACCGAGGAACAAGCCGCAGGATGGAAAGATGTCGTTGAGGCTGTCCATGCCAAAGGCGGATACATTTACTGCCAGCTCTGGCACGCCGGCCGTGCCACCATCCCTCAGATGACTGGATCGCCCGCCGTCTGTCCCTCCGCCAGTGTCTGGGATTCACCCACCGAATGTTATTCCCACCCCCCGGTGGGCTCGACCGAGCCAGTGCGCTACGCAGACCATCCACCCATCGAACTGAGCGTTCCCCACATCAAGCAGACCATTCGGGACTATTGCGAGGCCGCTAAGACTGCAATGGAGATCGGATTCGACGGCGTTGAGGTCCACGGTGGCAATGGATATCTCCCCGAGCAGTTCCTGAGCTCCAACATCAACAAGCGTACCGATGCGTACGGTGGCAGTCCCGAGAAGCGCTGTCAATTCGTCCTCGAGCTGATGAATGAGCTCGCACAGACGGTCGGCGAAGAGAACCTTGCCATCCGTCTCTCGCCTTTCGGCCTCTTCAATCAGGCGCGCGGCGAGCAGCGCATGGAGACCTGGACGTTCTTGTGTGAATCGCTGAAACAAGCGCTTCCCAACCTATCATATGTCAGCTTCATCGAGCCGGTCAGCATCCCCCCTCCCCCCTTTCGCAAAGAGATCTTCCGCTAACTCTTACGTTATGAATATAGAGATACGAACAAATCTTCTCCGTGACCGAGAAAGACACCTTCCTCCAAAGCTGGGGTCTCTCCGACGTCGACCTCTCCTCCTTCCGGAAAATCTTCGGCTCCACACCTTTCTTCTCCGCTGGCGGATGGGACCAGACCAATTCGTGGAATGTGCTTGAGTCCGGTCGCTACGACGCCCTGCTGTATGGACGCTACTTCACCAGCAACCCGGACCTGGTGGAGAGGCTGTACAGGGGTATTCCCTTCACACCGTACGACCGCAGTCGGTTCTATGGGCCGTTCGAGGACAACAGAGTCTGCTATGTGGACTATGAGCCTGCTCGGGAGCAGGACGAGGGCGACATCCGTGGAAGATTGTGAGAGAAATCAATTCTCGACGGATCGGTCGTCTCCTCCGGCCTCTCGCGAGATCTATTGGCTTGTGCTTTGCAGCGTTTCCTTAACGAAGAATGATCATGATTTGAATATAAATTATCCCGCTCTGGGGTGCTGCCGTTGGCAAGTCGACCTATCATAGGTATCCGGCCACTTGAGGTCTGCGCTTCGACGTAGGTACTGTAGAAGCAAAGTGTATGAGGGTGAGGGGAAGGGGAAGAAGGGGCTGTTGTCGTCTGCGTTGTCGACAAGAACGTGACCCGTGCGACATGTGCTCGACGCGTCCACCCCAGTCAAGCACCTCGTTGCACCACCACGCTCTACTGAGAATCTCACCGAGAAAAACAAACCACCATAGTTGCTATCGATCATCACTCCCAAAACACGTGGCACATAACCCAATGCCCAAATCCCCCCCTATCAATCTA